TGAAAAGTGGTCTATTGATTACCTTACCAAAACCTTTCGGAATTTTGGGTCCTGAATGCTTTTCAAATTCGTACTTTATTTTGCCTTTTAACGTATTGATTCGAGCGTCACTGATGAGTCTTTTGTAAACGAAACGTGCGTCTGACGTACAAAATTACAAGCCTGATATCTTTGATGAGTTTTTTATACACATAATCATTGTTCAAATACTTCGCATTAGATGACATTATTCATCAGAGGAAAATCTAATCTGTTTCCTATAGCGTTCAATGGCGGGTGTCATATCGTTCGTGTACCTATTATTAATATCAAAACTTGAAACAATCAAATTCTGTTTTCATGAAATTGATTAAAATCAAAAGAATATATAGGAAACAAATTAATTTTGGCTTTTAAAAAATGATGCAGAACCAACAGTCATTTTGAGTGGATTTCATACAGCGTAACCACAACAATACAAAACCAAAAAAAAAAAAAGAAATATCTGCATACAAAGCATACGTCTGTCTCTTCATCTTTTAGATATGATTTAATATTTTCTTGCTTCTGCATTTATCTTATATCATCACATTAAACAGAGGCAAAAATACTAAAAGGCGATGAAAATTAAGTGTTGAAGAAAAAAGCCCAAACATGGCAAAAAAAAGAAAAAGGAAAGAAAAAAGCTACGAAAAGATAAAAATAAGTCTACAAAACACTAACCAGAAAGCCAAAGACTGAGCAGTACCCGGGTTGATCAAGTTCTTCAGATGGGAAAACAGATATGTTCCACTTAATACACACGCCGTGTTGTTCGTAGCAATTTAATACTTTCGGATAAGTTGCATATGGTGAAAAGTCAAAACAGAGCGAAAGATACTAAAAGGATATTCAAACTCGTAAGTCGAAAACAATCTGACAATGCCATGGCAAAAATTGAAAAACAATCAAAAGACGATCAACATTATACAAAACATAACTAAAGACTGAGCAACACAAACCCCACCGAAAACAGGGCGTGATCTCAGGTGCTTCAGAAGAATAGGCATGTGGCATCCGTCTTGTTGTTCATGTAAGTAAAACCCGGAGATAAGTCCAATTCGGTAGGTCACATTCGGGGAAAATGTGAAAACAATTTAATCAATTTTAGCGTTAATCTGTGACATAGATATTGCATACCGGTAAGGTAATTCCAAGTCATTGTTATTCCAATAAAAAATGTCAAACTTTACAATTTGAATCCCTTTATTCAATTTTTTTTTAAAGCGACAACCATATATCAAGGAAATCAATCTAAAAATCAAGCTCTGAAATATCGTATTAACTTGTATTTTCATTATGACATCACTATAACATAAACATTAAATTATACTATTTTAGTTATACAAAATTGTTTGGATAATAAAAGTATAAATGTAGTAATATTTCGTTTAAATTTCAGAGTTCCATGTTGACTGTATAAAACCATGGTTGAAAGTGAGAAAACAGAGTTGTCCATTGTGCAAATGAATTGTTATTACTATGCCTGATTAAACACCTTCATTTCCTGCTGTTCATCAAAACATTTTTACTTTTCATTCATCTCCGCTGTATGATAGTGTTTGTATAATCAATATATTCTAAATCATAAGCAACATGACAATAAAATTTTAAGCTTTCAAATGCGCATTGATATCATTAGAAATTAATCAAATATTACCAAGCATTCTTTTGCAACTATTAAGCTTTGAAATTTGTTTCTTATAGCCAATTTCAAATGAAGGTGCATCTGTATAACCAGAAAGAAATTTGGATCTCAAAATATCGCTTTTCCCCTAAAGTCAGTTTTCTTTAATCAAATAACTTTGTGGATAAGCAAATATTGTTATTGAAAAAAGGCTACACAATTCCTATATGACAACATGATAACTCTGGTTTTAAGTGATATGTTACGTTGAAAAATGTATATAAGTCTTACATATTAGTTTGTTATTTGCAACCATATGGGTCTAAAAATGAAGCAAACCTTGTTACTTGTTCATAACAGAATTAAATCTTTTACTTCAATTTCTGGCTTGCTTGTTACAATATCCTTTCGGAATTCAAGCTCCTCCAGACATCCCTTGTTACTTTCCACCAATTACTCAGGGCAGTAATAATTAGTTGTAAAATTCATAATACAGCAAACATTTTTTTTAAAATATCACCTATTGGTCAAATGTTTCTAATGGTTACTTCAAATATTATGTGAAAGATAAAAACAAAATACGAAAGTAAATCAAAGATAAATACTTAACAGCTGGAACCTAGCTTTAGACAGGCACAATTCGATGCAACAGAATAAAAAGTGACCTGTTTAGCTTTTCAAAGATGATGGAAACCAATTTGAAGCTTGATCCATTGTAAATATATCTGTCTATTGTTAACGACCGTATATTGACCACTCACTTGATGTCTTTTGATTATTTTGTCATGGAGTTGATGCCTCATTGACGAACACCCTCATCTCCTTCGATTCTTGAAAAAAAGACTATAATATTGGATGTTGGATGCGTACTGATTGATATTTAGGTCTTCGAAACAAGATTTTTCATTATTTGTTATTGGCTTTGAACTAGCTGTCAGTAACTGCGAGTACTCTCAGATCTGTAGTTTGTGTCTTTTTTGTTGTTGTGAAAGATGTATAAATACGCTGCCACGTCCGGTCAGTGTTATTGTTAGATGTTTTGCTGCTTTGTATCGATCTGATGAGTTAAGCCCTTTTAAACTGATTTGTATAGTTTGTTATTATGTTATGTCCCAGGTTAGAGTAGGGTTGGTGCCTTCAAACATGTTTAGCCTATCCACATTCTATATGTGTCTGTCCCAAGTCAGGAGCCTGCAGTTCAGTCGTTGTGTTAGGTTCATGTCTGTCATATTTGTTTTTCGTAAATTGTTTTGTTGTTAATTTGGCCGTTAGTTTTTTTTCAAATTGTTGAAGGCCGTATGGTTGCCTATAATTGCTTACATTCACTTCATTTGAACTTTGGTGGATAGTTGTTTCATTGGCAATCATACCACATCTCCTTATTTTTATATATAAACAATTAAATGATCATAAAGAAATTATTATATGATGGAAGGTTTATAGCTGATGTGAAGACTTCTCAAAATTAAGTATTGGGAGTTCAAGAGACTATTTTGCAACTGAAAGATGGCAAATCAGTATGGTGTTTTTCCGATTTGATATCAACTCGTCACTAAACTGGAAGATAGTTATGGTCACTGTACAAGTATTCAATATAATATTATAGAAACAATAAATTACTGGGAAATATATTAAGATACCAATGATATGCAATTACATACGAAGTAACATACAGTGCTTCAAAATCAATATATGGTTATTTAAAACGTCCGGTCAGTGTTGTTGTTAGGTGTTTTGCTGCTTTGTATCGATCTGATGAGTTAAGCCCTTTTAAACTGATTTGTATAGTTTGTTATTATGTTATGTCCCAGGTTAGAGTAGGGTTGGTGCCTTCAAACATGTTTAGCCTATCCACATTCTATATGGGTCTGTCCCAAGTCAGGAGCCTGCAGTTCAGTCGTTGTGTTAGGTTCATGTCTGTCATATTTGTTTTTCGTAAATTGTTTTGTTGTTAATTTGGCCGTTAGTTTTTTTTCAAATTGTCGAAGGCCGTATGGTTGCCTATAATTGCTTACATTCACTTCATTTGAACTTTGGTGGATAGTTGTTTCATTGGCAATCATACCACATCTCCTTATTTTTATATATAAACAATTAAATGATCATAAAGAAATTATTATATGATGGAAGGTTTATAGCTGATGTGAAGACTTCTCAAAATTAAGTATTGGGAGTTCAAGAGACTATTTTGCAACTGAAAGATGGCAAATCAGTATGGTGTTTTTCCGATTTGATATCAACTCGTCACTAAACTGGAAGATAGTTATGGTCACTGTACAAGTATTCAATATAATATTATAGAAACAATAAATTACTGGGAAATATATTAAGATACCAATGATATGCAATTACATACGAAGTAACATACAGTGCTTCAAAATCAATATATGGTTATGCTGAGAACATAATGATAAAAAAACATGGACATAAAACAACCCTGAACTACACATACACAAACAAAATAATACAATAAGGTGAAAATGCATGACAATTTATGGCACACTTCTAAAAAGCTAATGTATTTCAGCACCTGTTGTCACCTCAGGCATATGAAGATATCAAGGGAAAGAAGGGACATTGCGTTTTAATCCATGGCACAAAATTCTTACAACAACTTGACAAAAGCAAAAGGAACAACTTTCATTCAGTCAACATTTGTATTTTTATGTGCGTGTTGTTCCATACGCTTGTCATATTACTTATTTTTCCTCTTTTACATATATTATCGTCTAATTTGGATTTCTCATTCCAATACCAATGGTATGTTATTCCGATGTGTATGCTTATGCGTGCTTGTCTTAGATGAATTTTTTCTTATTTTGATAATTTGTATATGGTAAATACAGAAATCTGTTGCGATGCTTTAATTTTTTGCGGGAATTGCGACAGGATAGATTTCGTACAAATTAAAACTCGTAGTACAGTTAGTAGTAAGAGTTGTCTTAAGCTCATGTTTATTTCTAACCTTATGGTGCCGACTCTAAATAAAATGTACTTACTTATGCGCGATTTTCAACACATAATTTCTTCCGTTATATCATACAAATCTGGTAGAAACAATATTTTGCTCTCAGGTTATAAATAAAATAGATGCCTTTTCCGTATGTTGAAGGCTGAAGACTTTATACTTCAACATTCAGGATAAATTGTATAAGAAGAGCTAAAGCGTATATTAAATGATGCAGTTATTATTTTTATGTACATATCTCGTAAAGTATATGTCTGAATCATACATGTTATATATATCTATATTAATCGATACATAATTATATAAAAATTAATATAAATGCAAAAAGAACTAGTCAATTTATATGGTTTCAGATGACTTGTTAAGGAAGTTACGATAAGTATATTTAATAAACATGAAATGAAGCATGCTATTTTTAAAGTTCACATTTGTTGTAAAAATTTCTATATAATTGGGTGTGTCAATAATTATAGTTAGATCAACACTTGGGTTGGAATATACATGATGCTCAAAGGTAAGCTAAACTATATTTGATTTGTCCAAAATCGTCTTCACTTACATCCTTCTAATTAGGACAAACAAACAGATTATCACGAGTTTAGATAAACAAAAGTCAACGCGTATGTAAAATTACTCTTTTCTACAATTTAAACTACATGTATTTCCATAATCATACCAAAAAGATACCAATTTCCATAACATCCAAATGCTATACATTTTGATCTCTGTTGAAGGCCACTTGGTGACTTGAAATTTTGTTTTTTTGTTCACATTTTTGTCCTTAAGTCTCTTCATTGTAATATGGATAGCTGTCTCATTGGCGATCATACCACATCTTATTAATTGTATATTGTTGTTGAAAACGTGATCTGTTAGCTTTTTGCAATTTGAACTTTTTCTTTAGAACAATTGCATAGAAAGATGGTGAATACATTCCCACATAGTCCTTTCAATGTGTTCTTTCCTTGGTGTTGATTCGTCAATAAGTATGACCACCGTGACCTTTTTAAATTTCTAATGTATTTTTTTTTGCATATATCTTTATGAATGAATTCATGAAATGATACTTACAAACTTTTTAAGGTCTTGGTGAAATGGTTAACATGGGTCATAGGGGCCATGAAGGGGTCCAGTTGTCTGATTTTCAAACTGTTCTTTTTCTATAACATCACCAAAATAATTGAAACCAGACTTGTCAGATATGTTTCTGTAGAGGTTTTAAACAAACACAAGTACATTATGTGGATAAAAATTCAAAACTGAACAAATTAGAGCAATTTTAAATATCTGTTAATACTTTAATGTAGTCCAATAGGCCTACACCGAAGGTCAATGTTTACCTCGAAACCGTATGAAAAATACATATAAGAATAGAGAATGGAAACGGGAAAACGGAGTCAAAGAGACAACAACCCGACAAAGAACAGTCCAAGGCCACCAATGGGTCTTTAACACAGCGAGAAAATGCTGCACACGGTGGCGGGCTTCAGCTGGCCCCTAACAATCATGTAGACTAGCTAAGCGAAATGATACCACACTGAACTCCGAAACATACAAATGAGCAAAATTAATTTAAAAATAAATTAAGATTAACACAGCCTTGAGGTTCCTGACATAGGACAGGCGGGGTTAAACATTGTTTTCATGTCGATAAAGATTAAGTGAAAATGATCTTGCGTTAATACTCTTTAGAAGTTACTTACCAAGTTTTGCTTCTTTGGTCTAGATGAAAAGTCCAATATGGCTTTTAAGTACCAAAATTGGCCCGATCTAATGAATGTATTTCAAATTTTAATTTAAAGAAACAATAAATCTATTAAGAATTAACTTGACAGGGATGTTCCTGTGAAGGCATATCATAAATACATTCATGTTTAAAAGACCACTAGGATCGGTCAAAGCTTTGATTTCTATTTGAGAACAGATGAAATCGTTAGAGAAACAAACCAAGCATGGAGAACTGTTTTTAGAAGGTATGCATTATGTTTTGGTAGTTCGATTTAGGTAAACAACATATTTTTGCTATAAGGCCAAACTCCATACCAGTGGGCGATTCAGGTACAATGGAGCCTCTAGTTTCGTCTCTTTCCATTTTCTGGTGTAACTCTAATCTAATACAGTTTTTTTTACAGATTTGCCATAGCGAAAATGCATATAAGATGAGGAAGTTTACAATAAATAGTGTGTTCATGATATGTTGGCCTTGGTTGATCCGTTTAGCGTATTCAAAGGTTAATGTAGTAAGTACTCACTTTTGCCTTAGCAAACCAATATCAAACAATAAGAAATTATCATTGAAGTAATTGGGACTAAAAAAAAATGAAAATTAGAAGTACAAATGGCAATAATGGCTAACGCAACAAAATTGATAAACAAAAAAGTTATCGAATGATAAGATAGAAAATCAAAGCTAAAAAAGTGCAATCTTCAATAAAAGAAGGATTGCATATCACCATATATAGGTTGTACTGAAAGACATAAATTAATTGACCTATGAAGTCCTTCAATCCAAGTAAAATTAAAAGAATTTACAAAAGACGAGAGTTGTGCATTGACAGGAATTCTCTTTTGTCCATTATTCAGTTCCATGATATATACATATAACTTTCCAGTATGTTCTTTTGACCGGGACCGATTTGGTGGTGTTACATTTTACAAAGTCTACTCGAGTTATTTTGCAAAGAATTCCGCTCAAACCGGTGCTAGGGGCCGTCTGAAACTTTAAATGAGGTGAGGATTTTTATTGATCCGTGTTGAAGGCCTCACTGTGACTTTGAGATAAAAAACAACAACAAAAGCACTGTTCCTTTGCTTTTAGTGGTTTTTTTTCTGTGCATGTACTTATTATTTTGTGACATAGATACCAATTGTAACAGTCAACCTTTTTCATTTCTATAAAAATTTAGACAAATTAAAATCAAAAGTATCAAGGCAGTAGCTGTACTTGATACAGCCATTTGATATAGTTCTCAGAATTTTTTATGAAGAAAGTTACTCGTTTTATTTTAATTCGATAAACGATTTATTTATTTTAACCAAAATATTTCAGATTGAATATGGAAAAACCATCCATACATTCAAAGACGAGATAACAGGAGTTGGACCAAGTTTTTCAGAGAATGGCATTAAGGTACAGTAACTATTAGACTGGTGTTAAAAGATAGGCGTGATTTCCGGTGCTCCAAAAAGGTAAGGGGATCCTGCTCCTCATATGGCATCCGTCGTGTTGCTTTAATAACCAAGTATTACAAACCAAACAAAAATTGATTCACAGAAATGAAGTTCAAAACCAGGAGTAAATGTAAGGATGTTTTATCACTCCCTGTATTCACAAGTTGCACCGATTGAGATGGAACGAATAAACATGAACTACAAGGTTTATTGCTAGCACAAGAACTCCTTAACCATTCACAAAAATTAGGAAATTGTTATACAAACAATTGTGCATCGGTTCTAAAAAGACGTTTAATAAACTATTGAAAATTTTTTTTAACCTGATATTATTCACTTTCAGGGAAAACTTGTTTATTTCGGACAAATTTACAATACTTCATGCCTGGACTATGGACCACAGTCTCACTTACAGAATAGCATAGCATTGATGAGACAACACGGCTGTGGTATTGTGAATATGGTAATAATAATGATAATATGTAAAAATATTGCTAAATAACAAAAACACTAAAGTCTAAGATAGACAAAGCATCATCAAAATAGTCCGAAATCACTGGGATAGAAACCAACAACAATGACGGGAAAACACAATAAGTTTCCCCAAAACAAAGCAAAACATATCAAGCATGCACGATTGAAACTTTGAGCGCCCCACCCAAATTTAAATCAGATGACAGTACAGAATGTAAAAGTCCAAACAAGTAAACAAATCTCCCCTTCTGACAGAGAAGTTACCAATTGGATATATAAAGTTCATCTCTGGTTTCAAATTGTTTACCCAGAATTGAGCTAATCAGACGTTTGCTTTGCTGTTCTTTGTCTCTTTAAAGCTACAAGTGTATCTATACATCCCAAACAACTTAAAGGACACAAAATAAGCAGTTTTATTGTCGAGCAGAGAAATCAGCAATTTGAATGACTATACCAGTACAATATACAACGAAGATTTTGTTGACGTTCCAATCGAAATACTTGAAAGGCCAAATCAATTACTAAAATGAAGAGCAACATTTCAAAAAAACGTGTCAAATCAGTCAAAGGTGATTTATGCCTGGGGTAGAAAAACCGTAGACAAACTAGTGTTTCGACTGGTACTTACATTTTATGGACTTCAAATTTACAGGAAATTACAGTGTTCGTGGTATGGTATGGCAGACGACAGAAAACCACAACACTGATTTAAAAAAATAGGATATGTGATATAATTGCCAATAAGACAACTATCCATCACAGTTCAAATGGCGTAAATTTAAGCAAAAATAAGTAACCATACGGGGTTCAACAATGAGCAAAACCCATATCGTATAGTCACCTATAAAAGGTCTTGACATGATCAAATGTGAAACCTTTCAAACAAGAAAAAATAACGACCCTATTTATAACAATACAATTTACGATAAACAAACATGACAGACATGATCCAAACTGAATTACAGGCCCCTGACTTGGGACAGGTACATAAATAATGAGGCGGGTAAAACATGTTTGTGAGCGCTCTCACCCTCCCATAATCTGGAACACTGGTCTAATAGCACAACAAAAGAACAAGCTTTAACCCCGCCACATTCTGTATGTGCCTGTCCCAAGTCAGAAGCCTATAATGCAGTGGTTGTCGTTTGCTGTTGTATATCATATTTTTTTTTCGTTCAATATTTTGTACTTAAATCAGGCCGTCAATTTTCTCGTTTGAATTGTTTTACATTTGTCATTTCGGGGCATTTTAAAACTGACTATGCGGTATGGGTTTTGATCATTGTTGAAGGCCGTACGATGACCTTTAGTTGTTAATTTCTATGTCATTTGTTCTCTTGTGGAGAGTTGTCTCATTGATAATCATACCACATCTTCTTACTTTTATATTTATAAACCAACTAGCTGAAGCATAAGTGATAACTATTCTCATGTATTGGTAACGTCTAGATATCATTGCATGACCGACAATTGGAAAAGGAAATATTAGAACGGAATCTCTTAACGTTGCCAAATATCATTAGCTATGCCTTAGGTAAACTATAAGACAATAAATAAATAAAAAAACCATTCTTACTTTTTTCTTAAAAATCTTAACCTTTTCATTTAAAAGGTAATTTCTGCACAACGCATGAACTACAGTGCTGTTATAATTGGTAACAGGAAGAATGGAGTTGAAAACCTTATGAATATATCAGAAACCACAGGTAAAATGATTTGTTTTTCATATAGATTTTAGAGAATGCCATAGCAGAATATTTTACAAAGACAATTAATTGTCAGCAATCGATAAAGCAATGCAAAACCCATAACATTCTGAATTGTAAATATATGATAACAATTAAAACTACAGACTGTTAATGCAAACCCTCATATAAATGAAAATTCTTTCAACAGCGATGACGACCAGCCATGAAACCGGTAGCAATATTTAGTTCTTAAAAAGGTTACGATATGCATCATTGCAAAAACGGAGAAAGTGTTTGATATTCACGAGAAAATACATTACAAAGAGCAATAGCCCAAATTTAGTTGAATAACGTCAAGGTGTGGCAACATTTAAAATCTAAGGCAATTAATACTGGGAATAATCCCGATCCTTCGAATTTCTAGACTGGCATCTTTAAAACACGTACCCTGAAAGGGTGGAACATAAAATGATTTACAGTATACTAAAAGTAGAATGTCATACTGTATTATTGTCAGATAATTACGAGCATTTGTTGCAAACAAACAAAAAAACATTTGAGAACACGTTTTTTAACGTCTAAGCAAGTTTTCACAATGACGAGTGCACTTGCAGCTGTATGATTATATTACTAATGAAGATTTTTACAGATAAGTATAGATGATCGGGTTTTCTACCCATCGACAAATTATCAGCAGCTGGCCACGATGTGAACCTTTTTGGCAAGTAAGTGGAGCGATCGATCGAAAAAACTTCACATTATGTCGAGCGGCTGTAATGTAATCATATCTATACATATAACACCCGATAATCTGTTTATCGTTCTATTACTGTTTCCCCCTCCTTTTGACGAAAATAAGCTTAATAACGTCTCCTAGGATATCGTGACTTCGTTGATAATGTCTGCTCACGTCCCAAAGCCGTGATACGACCGCGAACATTACGGAGCGACTGAGCAGGGTGATATAGGCGAACGGAAGAACGATAAAATTCCATAAATCACTTGAATTTCTCTGGATTTAACCTCTATCAGAAACCCTCATAACCAAACATTTGAAAGCCAATGATGTATAAATACTTGATCGTATGACCGAAGGGGACATTGATAAGATAGACTGAACCATATAAGGTCAACATTTAATGAACCTTACTTTCTTCATAATTTCTCAATCTACTGATGCTATAAATAATGTCAGTCATTTATATATGGACAAACGACTTAAGTAATCACTTCAAAAATATCTACGATCACCAAAAACATGTTGATTGATCATTACAGTTTCTAAATATCTTATTTGATAAGAGATACAAGTCTTTTAAACCTGTCGTGGTTCCACATGTTCCCTGTCATCTATTTGACATTATTGCCGATGATATCCTGGCTTTGAGACTTGTTATTTGTATGCCTTAATAATGATGTGACGGTTGATACATATACAGAAAGAGATGATTATCCTGCACCTGGTCTCACTCCGTATTGATTCCAATTATGTCTATTCATACCTTGACTTATATGGTATGTTAAAAGAGCATATGTAACAACCTGAATATGTATTTTATAATCACTATTATTGTTATTTATAATTTTTATTTAGTTTCGTACAAATTAAATTATATGCATGAGTATTGTGATTAAGTGAACCTGATATTAAATTACAGCAGCCAGTACCAAAGACATAAAAATTCCATCCGTTTTTGTGGAGGATACCGTTGCTTTGTATTTACTAAACTTCGATATCGATCAGATGAGAAAGTAAGTATACATCGTATATAAATTAGCTGAAATTTGGCTTTGGGCTAGCTAGCTTTCAGTAAATGCGAGTACTCTTAGATGTACTTTGAACCTTTTGTCATTTATCTTTGTGCTTGGTATCGGTCGGATGTGTCAAGTTCCGTTACAGCTAATTTTCATAGTTAGTTCTATTGTTGTACCGTTACAACACTGTCCTCTGTTAGGGGGGTGTTTGGTCCTCATAGACACGATTAATTGTTTCATTTGTTGTTAATTAACTGTTCATAAAATATCAAAATTATTCGAAACGGAAAGGATTCATACCCCAGGCATAGATGTCCTTCGTCAGATTTGACAAAACGTTTTTGGTTCGTTTGGTTTTTTTAATTTTTGTTTTGATTCGAGCGCTACTGATGAGTCTTATTGATACAAAAAGGCGTGTCTTGCGCTTCAAATTATAAGCATGTTATCTTTTTTTTAAAACTCGCCAATTCTTTCTGTGCCTGTCCCAATACAGGAACATGTAACCCACGGGTATACCAAGTCGTTTTTCTATCAGTTTTTGTTTCACATTTAGTCACCTGGAGCTTTTTATTGCTTACTATACAGTAGAGGCTTTGCTAATTATTAAAGACGGTGAACCTTAGTTGTATTTATAGTTTTCCTTTAATTTTGGTTGAGTTGTCTCTTTGGAATTCACACCATACATGTACCTCTTAATTTTTACATAAAAAAGAAATAGATAACCTTTCTTTTTTAAATTGAAAATAAACCGATTTTCGTCCATTCTGTTCAATTCATTATTTAACCATATTGACAAGGTTGGGCGGTAAATACCGCCCCTGGTATTTACCGGTGGTATTTACCGGTATTTACCGCCCCGGACAATACTCCTCAAGTGGTCAATACTGGCAAATACTGGTCGATTGAAATTTTCATGGTAGTTTTTACTATTTATTAAAGTAAAAAAAATATAAAAAGTAAGATATATTTAAACTTTTATCTTTTGGCATGTTTCAGCTGATATAAATGAATGAATTTGATATGTTTTATTCATTTTTAACACTTATACCTACTAACTTAGTCCTTAAAAGTTATGATATTGCATATTTTAGATATCTATATATAAAGAATTGACAAATTAATTATTACAACATTTTTCAATCAAGAAATTTTTATTGAAAATGCATAATTTTACAGGTACATAAAACTACAGGTAAATGAAGTTACAGGTGTCTTATTACCTATCACCTGGCATTGCTAGGTGTGAAAATTTAATTACTATAAAAACAACTGCCCCCAATAAATGATGACAAAACATGGTTGAAAGTAATAAAAGTGATATTTGAAGACTCACTTAAACAATAAAATATTTCCTGTCTATTAAATGTGAGACAAAAATCATCTTGATGCATGAAATAAAAGGTATGAAGGACCTTTACTCTTATGGTTGGACAGAAAGTCACAGGACATAAAGTCACAAATTTGATAGGACAAAAAGTCACAGGACAAAAAGTCACAAATAGTTTGTTGACAATTGTTTGAATATATAAGAGAAAGATCTTGAAATATTTTCTTTTTATTACATATATTCATTTTTAAGTTTAGGAAATTGTTCATAATCCTTGATAAATGAAAATTTATTAAATTTTATCGTGCAAAGGATATATTTCTTGACACCATGAAGTCATTTAAGGATCAAGCCTCTTTGACATTTTGTTTTCATAGCAATTATTTGACCATTATTAATATTTATTGCATAAATTTTAATTGCAAAGTTGCTTTATAAATAATAGTTTAAGAAAAACACCAAAATATTTCTTTTTAAATTAGCTTTATCTTGTTCAAAGAAAAATAATCTCAAAACTGAATTGAGACTTTTTGTCCTGTGACTTTTTGTCCTGTGACTTTCTGTCCTACATTCGAACTGTATTACTGTTTATGTTTTAAACCAAAAAATATATAATGTAGTATAAATTTTACCTTTATATAATCAATATTTTCATGATTTACATACACATAGTACAAACATCTTGACCTTAAGCACCAAACTGAAACCTGAAGACCCTATTTGGAACTTCTATACAATATAAGACAACAACAAAACCAGTGCAAAATGTAATGATTGCAATGCTATAGTCAGTGCAAAAGCCACCAGATGAGTTTCCTTGCCAGGGACAAAACATTTTTATCTCATGTTCCAATAAATCATTGTAAATCACTGTTTATTAAGAATTTACAATAAAAATAGAAATGAAAACATTAAAAATGACTTTAACACTTTCATTATTTCATTACTAAAAGTAATTAACCAACAGAGAGTGGTTTTTAAAGTAATGTCCACTCAAAATTTCAATCGACCAGTATTTGCCAGTATTTGCCAGTATTTCCCGGTATTAACCGCCGGCATGGTCAATACTAGTATTGACCGCTTTTTTGCCAACCTTGGGGATAGTTTAATATTACGAATTAGGTATGCACCGACTCCGACCTCGTGGGTAAGACTGTAAAGAATATCAAAAACATATATCTTTTAACGTGAATTGATTGATTGTTGGTTGCTTAACGTCCAGTGGCAAATATTTCATGTATGTTCAGGACGATACAAATTAACAATATATACAATAGGTAGTTCCTGTAATATTGGCCGTCTAGGATGAAGGACGGGGATATTTAGACTGCCACTGGAAAACGAAGGTGTATTGGTTATGGACAGACATTTAACTTTGTAACAGGCCACCTACGGAACCATCAAAGAGTTGTTATAAGGAGTTTGAACGTGCACAGAGCGTGGCACTCTTTCTACACGAGGCATCGGATTTAAAGTCCCTATTCTGACCGGACGTGACTGCGTACTTGTACATCCTGCACAGCCAAAGGGACGTCCCACTTTGGCAAAAGTTTTCCTTGCCGAGCGGAAAAAGACATGTAGTGACCATATTTTTATTCCACAGTCACCCTTAGAATATTGAAACATATATTTTTTAACGTGAAAGGGTTAGAAAAATGCCTGAAATACCAACCAATATTGCATCGATGAATACTATGGTTTTTCATTTCTCTGTAGAAACATTCATCAATTTATTGTTCTGTAACAGAGCTATTGGAAATATGTATCAATACATTTCCATTTTTTTCCGATCACCTGGTCTATTTGTTTGGTAGGACGTCCTTTAAAGGTAGATAACTCTATATATCAGCAATGTGTTCTATGAAAGCATTCATGTGATACAGGAACTAAGAATATATATATGTATAAGAGGAAGGTTGACATAAACGTGTCGATGATTTGTAAAAGTTATGTCCCTTGACCTAGGGTAACCTCCTTTAATTTAATTAGATTTGACCTTCTTCGATTAAACACAGCCTACATAATTAATGCTAACATGTCAAAGACATGTCTTCGTAAAAGTTTGGAGGTTTTCATTATTCACTCATTTGTTTTATGTTTGTGCTGTTCTTGAACTTATTACAATAAAATCAGGTGCATGGCTATGTTTTTTTCAGTGCATACATACAAATTACAAGAGAAGAAGAAGAATCAAGTCCGTTTACCTGGACGGGATATATTGTTGCTGGGGCACTTTTGTTTCTGTTGTTTGCTGCTATATGTTTCTGGAACTGTACTAACAACGTAAGCACAACTTAACTGTATCTTATTTGCATTTCAAAATTATATTTTTGTAACTGCCTCAAGTCTTGTTCTTATAAAAGAAATTTCAATTTGATTATTTTAGATAACTATTTCACTGAAAAAATAAATGAAAAGAATTCCCCAAGAATAAAAAGAACAAAAACAAAAAAACCCGACAATGATCATTTGAAAGATTTGCTATTGCATTGTTTTAAATACAAATATTAATATGAAAGTTTTTTTCATTATAACTTAACGTGATGAATCAACAACAAAAGAGATAAAAGTTAGCAATAGACATTTTGAGAGAAATACTACAACAATACAACATGAAACAATTATAGATATATGATTGAACAATCACATGACAGAGGGAAACCAAGATATGTGGGCAAAAAATAATACAGTTAATTAAGTTGTGCGGAAAATGAACCCTTTAAAGATCAGATCGATGCTTCACAGGGATTGCCAAACAAACCATATCTGATTTCAGTGATACAAATTAAATTCTAAGTATACAAACTCATCATAGATACCAGAATTAAAATTTTGTATAACTAACCTTCAATTGTAGGTCTTTTTGAAACAGATATTGCTGAACATTGAATTATAAAAGTGGAGTAAAGTATGATTGTAATATATATTCTGATTCTTTAAAATGGCATGGTTCACAGTACATTAAGTTTGTTCTGTTTAGTGAAATTTTGAATACAGAAGTAATATAACTGTCTTACTTAAAGTTTTCCTATGGTTCTAATGGTATTCCCAATGGTCTTTTTTTGTATTTGGCTTCTCACTCTTCTGGTCCCGATCACCCCTGACCATTGTTATATTGGAAACCCATGCTGAAAATGATATTTGTCTTTTTTTTTTACATATGACAATTGGGTAAATATATAGTCTTATCTAGAACGTTCATATCACTAAACTAAGAAATGGTCGATGTATAATAAAACATTCTGCCATGATATATTCATTATACATCTTTTCGACGAATTTACCGCGGAAATCCGAGGTAATTTGAAAACTATGAAAGAACATTAGAACCCTGAAACTATAAAAAGTTATTTGTTCAATCTTTTAAAAAAATTATGTTATATTTTTTTAAAAAAGCTCAATAAAAAGGTCATCTTTACAGTCTTATGTTTCTTATCTTGTCTCTTCCTAATCGATTGACGACATTTTATCATCGGTCTTTACAGTCTTATGTTTCTTATCTTGTCTCTTCCTAATCGATTGACGACATTTTATCATCGGTCTTTACAGTCTTATGTTTCTTATCTTGTCTCTTCCTAATCGATTGACGACATTTTATCATCGGTAAACTACTGTCTTGTTTATTCACCCCGGAGATCGGGGGTACAGAGTAATGACAGTGCATACATGCACCTTACGCATGATATTAAGCTATCAATATGCTGTAGTATAAACATAAAAAGAAGGACAATGAAAATGTCGCTTCCTAATATTGCACACCAAAACATAAAAAAGAACAATACATAAGTAGGTGGCTCATCTGAATGTTCGACATAACATGGTTCTTTTTTTAAGTGATTAAAATCTTGCCTGTATATTACAACGCTAATTCTAACAACAGATATACCGAAGACGATATCATCGTATTCATGATTTGAATATACTTACAGGATTTACGAGATTTAAACAGCTATAAACTTCTGTTGCCTTTTATTTTCCTACATTTACATCTTTCTATATTAACGACATCTTGTATTTTAATAAAAAGGCTATGCCTCATATCTAAATAAAAATGGCAGGATCTCCAAAATCATAATACTTATTAAGATGTTTTGTAACAAATGCTTGAAAGCCCAAAGTAAATATACATTTTTTGATGGTGACGTTCCCTTTTCACCATCTTATGGAGTTTATATATCTCAACTTGTTAGATACGCTCGTGTATGTAACAACGTATTTGATTTTAACGAAGGAAACCTCTGTATTACTGAAAAATTATTACACCAGGGTTTTCGATATCACAAACTAGTCAAAACATTTACTAAATTTTATCATCGGTGCAAGGACATCATTCGTAAATATAAATCAACATGCAGACATCTTATACGTTCAGGTATTTCACATTTAATCTTTTATGGTAATATTCTATACAAAGCACAACAATGTCGACATTCACCTCAAAAGCTAACCAAACCTTTAAACAGACTTATTCAGAAGGGATATAGTTACGATACTGTTGTCAGGTCATTAAAGATGGCATATTTTGGTATTAATATTGATTCACTTATAGGGTCTTTGCATCGGAAATAAACGTATGTATTCTAAAACCAGTTGTTGGCATGATATTGGTTATGTTCGTCTCATATATTTTATGATGGTATGATACTAAACCCCTAACGGGAGGGATAGTGCTTGATTTTCATATGATGAAGACATAATCTTTCAATCAGTTTAATTGAGGTCTGGAGCTGCCATGTCAGTAACTGCTAGTAGTCCTTTGTTAATTTATGTATCATTGTCATTTTCGGACTCGGACTTCTTTTAAACTGAGTTATACTGTGCGTATTGCTGTGTGTTTGTTTGTTCTATATTGGCTAGAGGTATAGCGGGAAGGTTGAGATCTCACAAAACATGTTTAACCCCGCCGCATTTTTGCACCTGTCCCAAGTCAGGAGCCTCTGGCCTTTGTAAGTCTTGTATGTTTTTTTTTAATTTTAGTTCATTTATATGTTTTGGAGTTTAGCATGTTTACTGTGACGTCCATTTTCATTGAACTAGTACACATTTTTGTTTAGGGGCCAGTTGAAGCCCGACTCCGGGTGCGGGATTTTCTCGCTGTGTTGAAGACCCATTGGTGGCCTTCGGCTGTTTTCTGCTCTTTGGTTGGGTTGTTGTCTCTTTGACACATTCCCTATTTCCATTCTCAAATTTATGTTGCATAAATACGGTATGACAGACTTGAAAAAAGTGTAGTGTCGTAGATAAATCTGACGGATGTTATTTGATAGATGTAAATACTTTTTGATTTTCGAATTCACGGACCAAAAATTATGTGTTTTTTTCAAAGTTTACATATGTTTGCTTATTCATCCTGTTTGTCGTTTTATTGATCAATTGATCAATAATTCTACAGACATGTTTAATGCTAGTTACATCTATATTAATTCTAAACATAAATGAAGTCCATTCAAGGACACACGTCACGAGACTGTGGAATTTATTCGTTGTTTCAATACGTTTCCATATTTTATTAGTGCCGAGAAAAGATTGAAATAAACAGCTGTATTGGAAAGAAAAGGAGAACTTCAATGCCATCGTTTTGGAATACATCAGAAGTACACGAATCACAATTTAAAAAAGGTAAAAATTATATACTTCAAATGACCAACTTCTTTTCGTATTGATAGCAATTGTTCTATCATATGAATAGAAAATACACAGATCTTTTAACAACTAAGAAAATTGTGACATGTAAGACTAGATATTAAACTAATTACACCATGTACATGTACACGCGTCGGTCGTACTAAATTATGAGTCTGTATATTTTTTGCGTTAAAAATTCGGTTATATATCGTTTTATGTGTAATTCTAGACTGAATTCTATATTTCAGCTTTTTCATGTTTGATACCTATATGTTAAGAGATAAACTAGGTTTCTGAGTATCAAATCAATAAGTGGAAGAACAAGCCCTGTCCAGTGAAAAGCAACAAAAGTGTGTTCGTTTGGATACTAAGGTTACCTGTACGGTCCTCGTGTTTCACGGAAATTTAACTCATGTAAATCTTCCTAATATCATTTACTTTCAAAGTCGGTTTCACAGAAACTTGCCTCATGTAAATCTTCCTCGTATCCTTTAATTTCAAAGTCGATAAGAATCAAAATCTATTACAAAAATTAAAGCAACACGTGATATATTTCTACAACAATATTTACATCTATGTTATAATGAATAGTATATGTCTACATTTACTGTAGGTTTTAAATACGACACATGTCCAGTATGTCTAGAGGAGTTTGTAAAAAAAGAAAAGTTATGGATCTTGCCTTGTGAACACGGTATGTATTTGACAAAAACATAAATGTAAAACAAAACAAAAACAGATTAGTTCTATTTGTTGTTTGTTACACAACATTTGTATATACAAAATGTAAGGTTTGGCCAATGCACAGTAAACTTTCGGAAGTTTATTCCAATAACCATTCATTACGAGTTACATTGTTTCCCCCTTTTCTTTAATGTAGCCGAAAAAGTTACTAACAATGTTTGGCATTTCGAATTTTGTTCTTCTTACATTTTCTTTGTCAGTTAACCCTCGACTAATTGCGTTTTTTTTCCGAAATGAATATTCCTGCCTTTGTCAATAATTGGGTCAGTTACAATGACCCGATTGAATCGTTATTTCATGTGGATTCTTATTTTGTTGACTCTTGCCAAGCTTTTAATTTCATTGTAAAATTCTGATACTCAATACATGTATGTTCACCACAATAGAATATAGTTTAACAAATAATCATTAAGGAAAAATTGAAAGATTCCAAGATTATAAGTTATTTATATGCATTGAAGACTTTATAGTTACATATTAAATTTTATATTTTAACTCCAATTTAAAATCGGACGTAGTTACTAATATACGAAACATTTTTATTCCATGAGATACTGAGGAACCAAAAGAAACCAAACGTGACACGATAATTTTGGTGGCCTTGTAATTGTCAATTACTAATTCCCCAATGACAAACGTTTGAACTCGAATATATTTAATAAAGGTTTAACCGGAAACACGTGTTATGCAAACAGATATCAGATCATAAGTTCTTTTCTCGGCAGCCACTCAACAGATCACATTGTTACATCGAAGACATGTTCTTAGGTGGTTTTCTAACAAGCGTCTTATCTATTGCCATCCTGAAATCCAAGATGGCCATTATATCGCTAGCGAAACGTAGTGTAAAAGTGAACTATTGCACTGATGTCAATTAAAATATCGTTTGTCAAAGCATAAATACAGACAAATATTTGAAGAAAAAATCGGTTATCAACGAGCGAAGCGAGAAGCCATCTCGACAGTCGAAATCATTCAGCATTTCTGCTGTACAAGCATAAGCTGAAATACGTTTTCAAAGACATAATCAGTGACCTGTTGTAAAGACAGGAACATGAAAAACCGTTCATAATGTACTATAGTGGACATACGATATCTATGGCAGAGTCTAAGGAGTTTCAAGCGATGTCGTTCAAAGTTCAACCCGCTAGTTATTAGGCATCGACAAAATATTCCATGCTTAGTTGGTGTTTTATAAATTCAAAGTATCGTTAAACAGGAAGTGGTTGTCCAGCAGATATAAAAATCACTTACACATAAAACATTTCATGATAAAGATTCGGATCAAATGTCAAACTATCCCCTAATGCCTAAATGGCAGTGGTAAGGGAAGATGGTGTGTTACTACGAAAGAATGGATTTACAATAGCAAAACGGAAATCAAAGCATTTCCATGGATCGCATTTATTTTTCTTTAAAATGTGTTATCAACCGAAAGACTTAGCTAGTTGAATTATCAACATGTTGTATTTCTAAAGTGCTTGTAAATAAAATCAATATATTCCAAAATTGATCTTATGAAAATTCTTTTTTATATTCTATTTTTTCCTAAAAAGGTCGGTAATTAAGTTTTCATTATATATCTATATGATTTGTAACACTGGATATTAAACATTTAACAAGGGTATTCCACCGAGCAAGAGGCACTCTGTAAGGCAACCAATAAGACGGCTGCTATATGCTCCTACAGTGTTTGTATGTTTAAATAAAAAAAAAGGAGGCGGATTATACCAAAGGGAAAATAAAAATTCAAAAGTGGAAGAGAAACCGACAACACCACGGCAAAAAAAAAAAATGAAAAACGATGAAAGAAAAACAATCTACAAAACACTACATAGAAAACCTGGTGTGATCCTAGGTGCAACGGAAGGGTAGGCAGATCCTGCTCCGCATGTGACACCCATTGTGTTGCTCGTGGTTAGTAAAAATGTCACAACCGATAACAAGAGGACGGGATTGTGGTTACGACAATTGAAATATATCCTCGACACATGTATTCCATAACTATCAACCACTCATGACGACGTCCGTGAAACTTTCGAAGGGATTACGAACGCCATCACGAGTTGGTTGACCGTTATGGAATATCCGTTATACAGATGATACCTCATATCTTGACTTACATCTAGAAATTGACAATGAGGGTCGGTTGAAAACAAAAAATTACGACAAAAGAGATGATTTCAGCTTCCCAATTGTGAACTTTCCATTTCTATGTAGCAACATTCCAGCAGCGCCTGCATACGGAGTATATATCTCCCAATTGATACGATATTCCCGGGCTTGTATTTCCTATCATGATTTCCTTGATAGAGGATTGCTGTTCACAAGGAAGCTATTAAACCAAGAGTTCCAAATGGTGAAGTTGAAATCATCCCTTCGTAAATTTTACGGACGCCATCACGAGTTGGTTGACCGTTATGGAATAACAGTTTCACAGATGATATCGGATATGTTCCTTATGTCGTAACTACAATACCCTTCCCTTTTCACGAATGTGACCTACCGAATTAGACTATTTACCGGATTTGTAATAACATAAGAAACACGACGGGTGCCACATGTGGAGCAGGATCTGCTTACCCTTCCGGAGCACCTGAAATCACCCCCAGTTTTGGTGGGGTTCGTGTTGCTTAGTCTTTAGTTTTCTATGTTCTGTCATCTGTACTATTATTTGTCTGTTTGTCTTTTTATTTTTAGCCATGGTGTTGTCAGTTTTTTTTTTCGATCTATGAGTTTGACAGTCCTTCTGGTATCTTTCGTCCCTCTTATATTTTCCTTATGTCGTAACTACAATCTCGTTCCCTTTTCACGAATGTGACCTACCGAATTAGACTATTTACCGGCTTTGTAATAACATGAGCAACACGACGGGTGCCACATGTGGAGCAGGATCTGCTTACCATTCCGGAGAACCTGAAATCACCCCCAGTTTTTGGTGGGGTTCGTGTTGTTGTTGTACCCCTATTTATGACATTTTGTTCACGCATCGTTGTCAATATAATGGAATTTGATGCGACTGTCGTACAAGTGAGAGGTTGAGCGCTATAAAACCAGGTTCAATTCACCATTTTCTACATTTGAAAATGCTTGTACCAAGTCAGGAATATGACAGTTGTTGTCCATTAGTTTGATGTGTTTTATCATTTGATTTTGCCATTTGATTAGGGACTTTCCGTTTGAATTTTCCTCGGAGTTCAGTATTTTTGTGATTTTACTTTTTTCAACTTCACCACTATGTCCCGTTGGTTGAATACTTCATTGTAAGTAGCAATTATCGAATAAAAACATCATAGTAAACGCAAGCTCTGCAATATTCAACTTGGAGATATATACTTTTAAAACATGCAGGCGCTTTTCGAATGTAGCAATATAGAAATGGAAAGTTAAGAATTGGAAAGCTTAAGATATATTTTTCTCGTAAAGTTTTGCTTATTTACATATTTGATAAACATGTAATATATTAGGTTTTATTTCAGGGTTCCACGTTGATTGCATAAAACCATGGTTGAATGAAGGAGAATGTAAATGTCCAGTATGTAAACAAATGATTATTTCAATCCCCCTTTGAACCAGTTCCGTATCAACATAGCAGTGGAAGCTGATGTGGTTGATACGAGGGATGTATATACAACTTCATTAACTTTAATTTAAACACTTAGAATAATGAAATAAACATACCAAATCAGGTCTTAAAATAAACCTTAAACATTCGTTTTTTTTTATATTTCCAAATTAAATGTGCTGGTATTTTGGTAATTTGGCGATTATCTGGCTGCGTTGGAGACCAATTGGTGGCCTTAGGCCTTTTTGATCTTTGATCGGGTTGTTGTCTCTTTGACAGAATCCCTTTCCATTCTCTTTTCTAATTATTTCATGTTGCATAACGTTCAAATATGCAAGAAGGATTTCCATCGTTTCATTTGAGAGCAGTAAAACGTCTACCAGAACAATTTCTGTTTAACTTGTTAGTTAATAACATGATAGTTTGACAACTAACATAATCATGCATTTTGTTGAGTATTTTTTACAGTTCTAAATCAGAACCTTTCTAGGTACACTATATGTGTCAGCAGGTGTGCTTGAAGCCAAATATTGCAACAACAAAAAACTAACATAAAACCTTAAATGCATGTAGCAACAAACTTAACGTAACAATTAAAGATTCTAAAACTGACAGAGAAATATCTGTTTATATTGGGAGGATAGAGTTAGAATTTTACAAATTGTGCATCAACTGGAAACATCTCAAGTATCAATATCTAATTTATATTATACCAGAACCAAACCACTGGATATTATACGTGGATACTATTTAGATTTACAGTTCATCAGCACTGTTGAAGGCGAATTTAAATTGGATAACACTGTTAATAGTCATTGGAAATTAATTAGACAGAAATAAATCAGTAATAAAGTTTTGCTCAATCATTTGAACGAGCAAATGCAATTAATCTTTGGAGAAGACTTCGTGGAAAAAGTTTGAAATCTCATTCACTGTTTTGAATTTTCTATTTCTCAAATATATGTAAGTACTGTTGAAGTATGAACTTGTTTTTTTTTCTAATTTAGTTCTTGGTTATTAAAACATTGTATGCACTAAAAATGTTATGTAATGAAGCAATTGGAACATGAAAAGGGATTACACTTGAAAATTTGAAAGCCGTTTTCGAAAGTAAACAAACAAAGAAAAAGATGATTGAGAGCCATCACATCCTAGAAAATAAACTTTAGAAAAATGAGCTTTATTAGCGATACAATATAGATATGTTGAATTAATCGGTAAACACATCTAATTTGAATCATTAATTAGCCAAGTCTGAAAATTAATGCTTTTTACTTCTTTTTTAATGTTCTAAACAACATAATACACGAGTTTAGAAAGAAAAAAAAAAAAAAAAAAAAAAAAAAACAAAGCTACCTGAGCAAAAGATTTTTTTTAAGCCAATGTATAGAATAAATCATAAACTTGCGGTAGTGGACAGTCACTATTAGAAAAAGGTATGTAAAGTTTTCATTTAGAACTGTAGAAGAAAGGTAAGCCTAGTAGCATATTTTTCATATTCAACGGAAACCCCTTTTAATCCATAATGTACTGAAGGAAGCACTGTGAAACCTATTGGAAAAAGAAACTTTTTTGAAGAAAAAAAAACTGACTCGGCCATTATTTTTCAATGCACCTCAACGATTCTCAAACCCCATTTCAAAAAACCTTTCTTCGTTATGTTAATTGATATGTATGGTCATAGCAGGTATTGGTTTTTAAAAAGTGGCGAAATATAACTGCTATTATTTGTGAAAGAGTCAGTAAAAGTTTTTGTTGCGTTATATAAGTTAAAGCACTTGGTTTGTATCGCTGCTGGTGGACATTTAGTCTCTCATCATCAGGTCAGTAGTCAGTGTTTCGGTAATGACATGATATATAACATACATGTACTTTTTTATATTGTCCGTTTATGAATGAAAATGTTTTAAGAAACTAAGTGTCTAACTCACTCAGACAAATTTGATCGTAGATCGTTGAAATATACCTTAATTTGCTTTTTTTTATATAAATCAAAAACTGCTATAATGTTTCAGTAAAGTATGTTTGATTGATATTTTATAGTGTGTCTTTCTATGTTGTAATGTTACACTACTGTTATTGTGTTAAAGGCTAGCTTTTCGATGCAATTCAAGTATCCAATCAATAGAGGCAGGCCAGGATTTTTTCAAAAGTATGAATGATAGTCTAGGCCTGTTGAGCATGTTGGACACTTTTTAATATAATCATGGTAACATATATAGCGCTTATGATACCGTTTGTACTGACTTACCATCCCAAATTTGACAAGTTGTCACACCTTATCCGCGAAAATTGGAAAGAAATCGAAAAACATCCTAAACTATTCTAGATCTTTCATGATCCACCTGTACTGGCTTTCCGTAAGCCCAAAAGCCTTAAAGAATTGCTGGTGAGAGCTGGTTTATCCTCTAAATTAGGGTCTTCATCTGCGGGCTCTTGCAAGGGATGCGGAAACAAACGATGTCCGACTTGCAAGCAAATACTGAATACCCAGACTTTTAACAGTCACGCCACTGGTACGGAATACACCATATTTTGCAATGTTAATTGCAAGACTACAAATGATGTGTATCTTCTACAGTGTAAATGTGGTAAACAGTATGTTGACGAGTAAGAACAGCCATTTCACACACGTATGAACGGCCATCGTAGCGACTATGAATGCAAGCCAGACCTTCCTCTCAGTCGACATTTGAGATCCCCTGGCCACACTCAGGCAGGTCTCAATCGACTGACCATTACAATCATAGACCACAACACTACTTGGTCTAGGGAGGATAGACTCGCTCGGAAAAGATTTTGGATAAAAAAATTAAAAATTTGGTTTCAAATGATATCACTGAAAAGGTGTAGTTCTAATTCGCGCAGTGCTTTTCATTTTGGTTATATTACATATTACTACGCAGTCTCTGTTGCTATTCCTTTACCTTTGTCAACTCTAAAATTCTAGAACTATACCGGTTTAAATCGCAGGGTGCTATTCATTTGAGATGTATAAGTACGCAGCCACGTTCAATTACTTAACCTTTGTCAAAATTTTTTTTTTAATCATTATCAAACTGCTATTTATTTTGGATGTGTAAATACGCAGTCTCTGCTGTAATTACTTTACTGTTGTCAAATTTGAAATTTGAGTATTATACCAGCTCAAATCGGTCAGTGCTATTCATTGGAAATGTATTTCTACGCAGTCTTTGTCGTAATACTTAACTTTCGTCACCTGTGAAATCTTAGAAATGTACCTGTTCACATCGCACACTACTATTTTTGTTAGAAGCATATCTATGCAGTCCTCTTTTGAAAATACCTAACCTACGTCATTTTTGAAATTTTAGAATTGTACAAGCATTGTTCGGTTTTAATTGTATAAATTCAAAGATTGTTATAGTTTTAAATCAGAATAGAATGATATGATTCATTTTACATCATAATCATACTGATGAAAGATATCTGTTATCCGAAATATTGATAGATAATTACAATTAATGTTTCCTGTTTTAATATTGGTGTTGTTTTGTACACTTTTTAGGCGTTTACACATATATATATATTTGTTGTTCGACCTGTTAGTCAAATGCGTTTTGTTAAAATATACTTTTTCACTTTTTTTGTCTTTTGGAAAATGTTGTTTGTGCTGTATTTATACCCCTCTAACAAGAAATTTGTTTTGCATGCACACATATAAAAATAGCGGTTTTTATCCAACGCAATCATAGGTTTGAACGTTGTTTTCAATTTAGACTTGTTTATATTTTTTCGTTTGGGCTTGTATTATATTTGCCTTCGGGTTTATATGATCCGTTCATCCTATTTTGACTCCTCAAAAAAAAGGAGTCTATCCTAAATTGAGGTAATTTGTATGGCTTTCCAAATACCGTTTCGATTCCTAACATCACTGAAGAGACATTAATTGTCGAAATCCGGATATGGTATACAAAAACCTTTGCACCTTTTGTTTGCGGTATACCATCTTTTCCGCAAGTTTATTGTTTTCTGTTCAGTATTAAATTTATAATTAAGATCCATTTATTACATCGGTGATCCGTTTATTTGGCAATCTCCAATGGCAGTCAGCAGGGTTTAAGAACATTTGTTGTTCGACCTGTTAGTCAAATGCGTTTTGTTAAAATATCCTTTTTCACTTTTTTGGTCTTTTGGAAAAAGTTGTTTGTGCTGTATTTAAACCCCTCTAACAAGAAATTTGTTTTGCATGCACACGTATAAAAATTTCGGTTTTTATCCAACGCAATCATAGGTTTGAACGTTGTTTTCAATTTAGACTTGTTTATATTTTTTCGTTTGGGCTTGTATTATATTTGCCTTCGGATTTATATGATCCGTTCATCCTATTTTGACTCCTCAAAATTCAAGATTCTATCCTAAATTGAGGTAAATTGTATGGCTTTCCAAATACCGTTTCGATTCCTAACATCACTGAAGAGACATTAATTGTCGAAATCCGGATATGGTGTACAAAAACCTTTGCACGTTTTGTTTGCGGTATACCATCTTTTCCGCAAGTTTATTGTTTTCTGTTCAGTATTAAATTTATAATTAAGATCCATTTATTACATCGGTGATCCGTTTATTTGGCAATCTCCAATGGCAGTCAGCAGGGTTTAAGAACATTTGTTGTTCGACCTGTTAGTCAAATGCGTTTTGTTAAAATATCCTTTTTCACTTTTTTGGTCTTTTGGAAAAAGTTGTTTGTGCTGTATTTAAACCCCTCTAACAAGAAATTTGTTTTGCATGCACACGTATAAAAATTTCGGTTTTTATCCAACGCAATCATAGGTTTGAACGTTGTTTTCAATTTAGACTTGTTTATATTTTTTCGTTTGGGCTTGTATTATATTTGCCTTCGGATTTATATGATCCGTTCATCCTATTTTGACTCCTCAAAATTCAAGATTCTATCCTAAATTGAGGTAAATTGTATGGCTTTCCAAATACCGTTTCGATTCCTAACATCACTGAAGAGACATTAATTGTCGAAATCCGGATATGGTGTACAAAAACCTTTGCACGTTTTGTTTGCGGTATACCATCTTTTCCGCAAGTTTATTGTTTTCTGTTCAGTATTAAATTTATAATTAAGATCCATTTATTACATCGGTGATCCGTTTATTTGGCAATCTCCAATG